CAATAAGATATGTTAGTTATCTTTAAGATTAGACAGTAGAACAATATGCTGTATTAGTCAAGTTTAAGATTAAACAGTAGAACAATAAGCTAAATTACTTTAAAAAATTTTCAAACTTAAGAACAGTTGTTATTTTCTTTGTGCAAAACTACACAATGAGATGTCTGTACTATACACTATGCGAGGAATCGAACCCCACATCCTAACAGTCTTAGCCTATAAATTAGTGCTAATCCACTAGGGGATTTTAAGTAAGGGAAGCATAAGTATAGTCTGCTACTGAAGCTATAAAATTATGTGTTCAAAAACAGACCAAAACAGGCTAAATTAATATGTGTTACTAAAATACAATAAGAAATGTTTTCATAATTAGTAGCATGGCTGTATGGGAGGACATGATTAGAATAGATGAGTTATGGTAAATAAAAAATGTTTGGATTCGACTTTTCACGAGTCACAAATGAATTTATTTAAAATTCCAGGTTGTGTGTGTAGCTGAATAAGCACACAGGCCACCAACTCGAGGAATTATGTGTGAAATAAAGAATCGACTCAGAGACTGTTGATACAAACAACATACAGTACTTTATTCTACATCCATATCCCAAATATCTAAATATTCATTCACATTGAAAGTACTGAAATTGTCTTGGAACAGTTCTGCATCAAAAAAATCAAATCCTTTGTTTTTCTCATGTACGTGTTCATCAAGTAAACCTTCTATCATATTCATTAATGATGACACTACATGGAAGAAATTATCCACTAAGCTGTTATATTCAGATATACTTCAGTTTAATTTAGAAATCTTACTTGAAATTTTATATACTATACATTGTTAGACTAGAGAGAATGACAATTGAAACTTACTGAGAGTTTGCCTGCTGAAAATGGTAGAGTGGCTTTACAACTGCCATCTCCTTCAATACAGTAGTCTGGCTCTTGGGTTGTTCTGAGAGAACTGGTTCAGGTTTGTTTGACCAAAGAAAAATGCTGGTGAGACTTTTACATGTTATCTGGCTGCAAGACATGCCGGAGTGAACTGGTACAGGTTGTCTGGTTTCAAGTAATACCAGAGAGAACTGATTTTAGGCTCAAAAACTTGACATTTTATATATAATTTCCTGTGTTAATGCAATTTATCAGGTATCATCACAAGTTCAGTCCACAAGTAGGTCCTTCATTGAATTGGTTTAATTATGCTGAATCACTGCTGACTTCTTGAACCCAAACCAAAACTGGACGCTAATTGGATATAGTCAGAAGCTGTTAAAGTGGTATCTGTTTGCATATATCACTCCTTTTTTGCTTATCACTTCATTTCCATAGTTAGCGAAGTTAACCCAAACCTTTCTGTAGCTTTTCCCTCTTCCACGATATCATCTGTTTCTACAGTTTAGATGAACTGTATGATGTTGCAATGATTTCATGATTCGGTGACACACCTCAGTCACTTGTATATAACCATTTCATTATTTGGACAATTGCCTTTATGAAGCTTCTATTATATATTTGTTAAATATGCATATTCATACTGCAACTGACATGTATATATGGTATGTATAGGCAATTCAATTTCTCTCCTGAAAGCATTTGTAAAATCGTTAATTTCGAACAGGTGTCTCAAATGCTTCACTCAAAAGACAGAGAGAGAGAGAGAGATGGGAGGGTCTATTCTGGTGGGCTTGACAAATATATTGATACCTTGATAAGTCAAAAAATTTGTAGTTTCAAATTGTTGTTTGTAATTATGGATAATTTGTTTTTCTAATTCCTGTTATTGAATTATTATTATTATTACCTATTATTGAAGGTAGAAAATTCAGATATGGAGAATTCAGAGTGCAGGCTTAGCATGTGACATAGGCAAGTGAAAATGGTGTATTTTTTAAATATTTCGTTTTGAAATTGAAACTTTGATAATATAAATATTTGAGTTATAAACTATGGTTTGATGGCAAGTTTATTGACAGAGATTATTAATAAAGTTGTTAAATAAAATTTGAATGTAACTTTTTCAAAGTACGTGATGTGTACACTTTGACCCAGACCTGTGCTAAGGGTTAAGCATGACTCAAGAGACTCCTTAACTCTGGTTGAAGGTTACTGTTAAAACATTCATGCTTTTATTAGAGCTAGTTTATTCACTCAATTCATCAATATAATCGATTACCTAAGAACTTTGATTACATCAGTTAGTATCATGCAAAATAATCAATTAATTGGGATTACAATTCAGTTGATTAATAACTGGAAAATATTGATCAAATATTTTAATAGCTTTTCAGAATTAGTGTTTGTAGTCTTTCAAGTTTCTCAAGTTGGATGGGTGCCATTACACTGATATAATATGACATTTTCAAATTATGTGGTTGTATATAGGCATCAAACTAAAAAACAAGTCAGTGTTGTAAAGTTTAAATTACAAAATTGAATTACAAAAATAAAGATCCTGTTATTATTTGTCATTGTATTGGCCATGTAATCAGGTGTAGTTTGTGTAAATAGATAACTTCTTGTGACCTTGTTGTTTGTTTTGACTTTGATACCTTAATTTTAATTGACCTAGGCTAGCAATGTTACACTCGCAGTAATATGACATTTTCAAACTATATTGTTGTATATAGACATCAAACTGAGAAACTAAGTCAATGTTTAAAAGTTTAAATTACAAAATTGGATATTAATTACTAGCAACTCCAGACTAGCTGTAAGAGTTTTAGTAAATTTCATCATGCCCCAAATTGCATTTGATGAACTACTTTCTGCATGATGTGAAGCTGCAAGGGCTGCTATATTGATCAAAGGTTGCCATAGTTCACTGATATGCTGTGAACACATCAAGTTTAGCCAGTGAAACTTATTTGGTGATAGTAAAACAGAACAATTCAGTCAGTAAAAATTAACTTTTGTTGCCCATTTTTGTAAATGAAGAATCTAGATAAGGCATCAGTCTGCTTATAGCCCTTAACTATTTGGTGGGGCTGTTTATAGCCCTTGAGCATTTTTGAAATAGGAAAGATTGTATTTCTGATTGTTACTGTTATAAATTATTATAGCTATCCAAGGAATTGAAATATTTCCACTAGGATTTCTCAGTATTATTTTTGATTAATTCAAGGTTGTTCAGCTCAATATATTAGTGTCATGACTAACAAAAATAAGCAACTAATTGAAGTTAGGGTTTTTGATTATTACAACTATTCAAGTCTTGTGAGAGTAATTAATTAGTTAAATGTAATCAGTTAATGAACTAGCAAATTCCACTAATCATCCAGCTCTAGTCTTTGCAGCTGGCTGTTCTGAGTGACATCTCTTTATTGGTATTGGAAGTGGTCAGCATTTCACAGTTTATATGAGTGGATAAGAATGTTGTTAATTTCAATGAACTTATGCTACCGATCAGATCATAGTTATGGTAAGGAGTTCTGGAACATTTGTGAATCTTCAAATTTGACTATATTCTTAGTGCAGTACGGTCTCTGTTATTCAAAATGTCAAATAATCTTGAAAAACCAGAACTTCTTCTGGATAGGTACAAAAGCCATTGAGTAGCCGACAGGAATATTTACAATTACAACATCATATTTTGTTGATAAACCCTTGTTTTTGCAGTTCTTGGTACCTATTGGACATCAATGAACCTTGGTATCATTCTCACATGTGTAACATTTGGTTCACAGTCTCACCTTTTACGTTTGTGTTATTGTTTATATTATCAATATTGATGAACCTGTTAACATACAGCATGACTCTTTAAGCTTAACATTGTTTGACAGGCCATTTTCCAGGATTGATCTTGGTTTTCATTTTTGACACTGACAATTGCTGTGCTTTTTACTTAATTATTAACCTTAAAGGCTGTGCTATTTTAATGGAAAAAACAGTCAAATATTTTCTTGCATTGGCTTTTACAACAAATGCTCATGTAGATGCCTTAAAATATTAAGTTTGGAAAATATTTGTACTGCTTTAAATACATATATTTTAATTGACAGTTACTTAATACATATATTTTGAGATATCACACTCAGTTTTTAAAGCACTAATGGTTTTCTACTACAATTTAAACAACTTTTGTACTATTGTTTCATACAAATATCTTGTGTGAAAATTTGATAATTTTATTATATGCATATAATTTGATGAAACTATGGGAGAATTTTTTCATACATTCTCACTCATTAACACTGCAATTAAATTCACTAATTACTACAGGCATTCTCTGTGTATTTTGCAATTTTAACTATAAAATGAGTGATTTCGCTCAATTTTTTTGTCAGTTCTATACACTAGATGTTGTAGAAAAACAAAAAAGTGTAAAATTATTTAGTATTATAAAACATGTAGACTCCAACAGTAGTAAGTGGTATAAAAATTTGGCTATTTGAGGGTTAAGACTGTGAGGATTAATGCATCATGGTCTAAGTGTTAGACTTTGAATTCACCTGCTGTATTTACATTGGCTGAAGATTTATTTTAACTTCATGAGCCTATTTAAAATATTAAATTATTTTTTTCGTAAGTATCTACAATATTTAAGTATAATTATGCTAGTGTTATTTTACCCTTATCAGTATTTCTAACATAATGTGGTTTAATGCTTCCAGTATTTATCAAATATTGCGTTCAAAACCCTGCTTGAATATGGAATTTGACAAGTGTTAAGAAAGAACAAAAAAAGCTGATAGAATTTCAATAATGATGAAAGTTTAAATGTATATTGACCTAAACTGTTTTTTTTTTGTATTTCAGATTTCAATGAAAATAAATTCATAGCATTAAAACTATCATTTAAAAACTTTAACAGAAATCAAGATGAAAGCTTTAAAATCAGAGAGAGATTCTGGATGTATATTTGACAATCTAGAAAAAATTATTATTAATAACATTTACTATTAACTATCTAATCAACATAAGTATTTCCATTTACCATATTTCTAATATCTATATATTTTACAATAACGAGTTATTATTTATGATGGTGATATATTTGTCAGGTATCTACAATTTGCAGGTAGCTTGTGTGGAAAGAAATGGCTGATGAATCATTGATACCACCTCCGTCTCCTATGAATATTAATAATGAAGATGAATTAAACCTATTTGTGCAAGATGTTTCACGTGAAGAAAATGGTAAGGCTCATTGCTTTGTTCATAGAGAAATGGAAGTGTATGAAGGCGTAAAGAAAATAAATGATATTTGCTCAAGTATGAGAATTTATCTCTACCATAACTTTTCTGCAATTTTTGTGGGTAGGGCCAGATTAAGGTTGATGGGGGCTGGAGGCTGTTATAGTTTTGGAGGTCTATCTTTGCATATTCATTTCCTTCCTTTACCATCATTTTTGGTTTTTAAATGCAATATACCAATTGTAAAGCTGAATTAAAGTTAAAATGAACAAAAGTACTTTAATTTTGACACATAACTTGTTGTAATACCGAGTGACGCTGCGGCTTCAGTTACTTGTAGAATTTATCACAGTGCTACTGTATTGTATTTCAATCACTATAATATATTTTAATTAGGTACCTGATGATGACAAAACCTTGTCGAAACGTTGTACATTTGCTGTCATGTTAAACTTATATTAAAGTTTTTCTT